CCAGCGGGAGAAAAAACAACAGGTAATTTGCGATATACACTTTCCCAACCCCCACCCTTCTTCACCCCCACTCGGCCTCCTCTGCTTCCCGCGGCCACAATGTCTTGTCCAGGAAGCACTGGCTGCTTGGATTCCACCCACCCGAACAGGCCAGCTCTCTGAGTGCCATTTGCTGGCTGCTGGTGGTGTTTTTTTCCACTTCTTTTGATTTCTTCCTTACCTCTCACCACCTCCCCTTCCTTTCGCTCAAATACCCAGCTCCATGCACCATCTTTGCTTCTTCCTGAGGGGCTGTGGAGCTCCGTTCAAGTGTGGAGCTGCTTCCCGGGCTGGGCTGCCACGCTGGTGGGATCCCGGGGCTTTTGTTAATTTGTTTTGAATTGTTTGTTTTCTTTTCCTTTTCTTGAGTTGGGAGCCCGTTCTGGCCAGGCAGTGCTGCGTGGCTTGGAAACTACCCCCTCAGCTTGCACAGACGTGCAGAGGGATCCATGACGACATTTCTTTCTTCGTTGGTTTTTTTTTCTTTTTTTCTGTTTTTTTGGAGTCTTTTCTAGTTTTTTTTTTCTTTTAATTTGTTTTGTTTTCTTTTCCCTCTTTTTCCCTTTTGGTCTTTCTTCATTGCTCAGTTTCTCATCTCTCTATATCTTCCTTCTCTTTCTGTTCCCTGAATACCTGGCCTTGTATACCTCTGTGCCTTCTAGCCAGGCTGTACTGCAACACTTGAGAACAACTTCCCCAGAACTCATAGCCGCACCGGTGGGATCCCTGGGAACTTTGCTGTTCTTTAATCTTTCCAGTTTTTATTTATTCATTCTTTCCTTTTCTTCCTCTTCCCCTTTTTGTCTATCTCCATTTCACAGTCTCTCGTCTCTACACTCCAATGGCAAGCTCCCCTAGCTTTCTTTTTTCTTTGTATGTTTTTGGCTCCTATTCCTCTCTCCTCTCTCTCAAATCCATCTTAGCTCCACACATAACAACCTCACCACTACATCCTGCCTACCTGCACCGTGTGCTTAACATCACACCACCAAGCAGCACAGGCACAGCCTACTGGAACCTGCCCTGCACTGAATAACAACCCGCCCTGGCAGCTGTGGTAAGTGCCACAAACAACCTGTCCCAGTGAGTCCTCTTCGGCTAGACCTGCCCTGCCGTACCATATCTGAGTGACTGACCCTGCCAATTGGAGAAGGAGGTGAACAGTATTGTGCCCACAGATGAGCAAACAACAAAGAACACACAGCCCGCCTGCTCAGACATAGCCAAATTTTAAAAAAAGGGATGAAACAAACAAATCTACAATCAATAAATGGGAAAAATGACTACTGAATGCCCCGAAGACAGCAGAAAATATCAAAACATTTACAAAAACAGGACAGGATGGTTCCAGTAGGCTTCCAAAATAAAACACCAGATGACTTTCCAGTGGAAGAAAATGCACTAGAACTACCTGATAGGGAATTCAAATCTCTAATACTCAGAATTCTCCAAAAGCTGAGGCAAGAAGCAGACAAAAATGAGGAAAAAATAGACAAATTCATGGAAAATACAGACAAAAAACTGGAAGAATTCAGGAAAATAAAGCAGGAACAAAATGCCAAAATAAATTCACAACTAGAAATTACACAAAGACAACAATTAGAAATCCAAAAGATAAACAACAAGATTTGAGAAATGGATGGTGTCATAGAAGGGTTGAGAAACAGATTTGAAATGGTGGAAGACAGGATCAGTGGAATTGAAGACAAACACTTGCATACAACCCTGTTTGAGGAAAACTCAGAAAAAAGAACAAAGAAAAATGAAGAGACCCTGAGAGTTATGTGGGATA